TGGTGGCCACAAAGAAGACAAAAAAAATCTCTGGAGTCCATCAACTGTAGACTCCAACTTGTTATGAAAAGTGGAAAATATGTGCTGAGGTACAAGCAGATGCTGAAGATGATCAGACAGGAGCAAAATTGGTCATCCTTGCCAACAACTGCTCAGCCTTGAGGAAATCTGAAATAGAGTACTATGCCATGTTGGGTAAAACTGGTGTCCATCACTACAGGGGCAGTAATATCGAACTGGGCACAACATGTGGAAAATACAGAGTATGCACACTGGCAGTCATTGATCCAGGTGATTCTGATATCATTAGAAACATGCCAGAACAGACCGGTGAAAAATACACCAAGCAGAATTTTTCATTACTAAAACCTGCTAGAGGGGGCAGGGGAGATGGCTCAGTAGAATAAGCGCTTCCCTGGCAAGCTCAAGGGCCTGAGTTCAATCCCCAGTTCCACCAAAACAAAATAAAACTTGCTAGAGCTTGAAAAAATGAAAATAAAAAGAAATTTTTTTAATTATTTATTTATTTGATACAGAGTCACACTATGCAGCTCAGACTTTTAGTAATCCTCCTGTTTCAGCCTCCCCATTGCTGGGATTGCAGGTGTGTGCCACCACACCAAGTTTCAGTGACCAGTGTGACGTGCCTCAGGTTCTGGGGCCTGCACAGCATGTGGTACCTGGGATGAAACCCAGGTCCTTGGGCTTGCCAAACAGGCACTTAGACCACTGTGCTATCTCGCCAGCTCAACAAGTCCACCTTTGTAGAAGAGGCTGCCCTGAAGAATGTCCCAGATGTCCCAGTGGGGTCTAAAGCAGCATTTGGAGAGGTTGTGGACAGCTGCTATCATGGTTTGTGACTGTGAAGTGTCTGTGTCCTGCACAGCAGAGGCAGCCTACCCAGGGGGCCAGGCACCATCTCCTGACTTGGTCCCTGCTGGCAGTTTTTGTTTCTGCTGACAGCAGATGAGAGTTTGATTCAGTCATTCACTCATTCATCTATGGGACATACATCACCAGTCATTGCTGTGCGTGGCGTCTGGCCCATACACCAACGTCCTCCCCAACGTTCCCCATGTCAGGGGAGGGCTCCCCTGCTGTATGTCTTAGCCTTTGCAGAGGTCAGTGCAGATAGCAGTGGGAGGTCCCTTAGAAATGACTGAAGTATGTGTTGGGATCTGGGGGAAACAACTTGCATTTCTCTGTGGAACTGAACAGAGAAAAGAATAAATGTTAAGTATTAGATAGGTTAAACGCCAAGCCTGCCTAGTCTGTCATCTTTGGCTAGACAACTAAGATACTTGTATGAACTGTGATGGCTGCCCAGAAACAGCACTGAAATGTGCCATTGTCTCCTGTGATCCCCAGAGCAACCCGGTCAGCCTTGTGTCACAGATGCTCAGAGTAGGTAAAGGACTTGCTGGAGGCAGCCCAGCTGCTAGGAGGCAGACGGGAGGAAGCCTGGCTGCTGCTCCTCCTCAGCTCTGTGGTTCTGTGCCACCCTACCTGCATTTGCAATGACCACACATAGTTCCAGACCAGGACTCTGCAGCAGTGATCTCTGAGCATTCTTGAGAAAGGAAGGAGAGGCCTAATGCCTCCGTTGGACTTTGGCTGCACCTCCTCCAGGGAGAGACCTGTGGTTCCATTATACCTCTGTTTTATTGTTCGTTTTGTTTTGACACTGGGTTTCACTGTGTAGGCCAGGCTAGCCTTGAACTGTGATGATCCTCCACGTCAGCCTCTTGAGTGCTGGATTATAGGTGTGCACCATCATCCCTAGCCCTCCCTTGTGCTTCTTTGTGTACTGTCTACCTACCCTGAGATGTTTTCTAGACCAATTTACAAATAGATTCTGAATCCCCTTCAGTTCCTACAACGGACATAGAGGGGCTGGGCTATGGCTCAGTGACAGAGTGCTTGCCTCAAATGCATGAGGCCCTGCACAGCACTCTGCCCCACACAGTGAGGCATGGTCCTGTAGTCATGCAGCAGCCCCTTCTGAAGGAGTCCCTTCTGAAAGGTCATATGTAGAAACCACGTATTTGCTACACAGCAGGTGATGGACAGGTAACAGGCAAGCCCCGACTGACTTAGGGTTAGCTTATTAGCAACAAGCTAACTCATGACTACTTTGGTTTTGCTACTTGAAGCGGCCCTATGAGCACAAGTCTACACTTGTGACCCCCTCTTGTCGGTTTCTCTCAGCAGAACTCCTAGGTGTACAGCAGTATGTGGCCTGTAAACACAGGGCAGTGGTCTCTTTTGGAGCTGTCACTTCCTTGACCTAGAACAAAGCAACAAGTGCGGACTGGTGCTTCACCCTGGAGAAGATCAGGCTGGCAGGCACATTTGTTCCTAAGAAGCACTTGAACACTCAGTACCCTTTGCAGTTAGAGCCTCCTCCCCGAAGCTGTGTCTAAAGTGATCCTGCTGGATATGGTTTTAGAGCACACTTTCCTCCAGCTGTAGTGTGTTGCAGACGTGACCTCATCACGTAGCACAGCTGTGAAGTGGGAAGGCGAAGTCTCAGCATGGCCCCCAGGCTCACTACCTTCTCTCTACACGTGTCCAGATACTCAGCATGTGCTCTTCCAGTCAGCCAAAGTGCTGCTGGACAGAACAGCTCTCTGTTTTGTTTTGTTTTGTTTTGTTTTGTTTTGTTTTGTTTTGTTTGTTTTGTTTTGTTTTGTTTTGTTTTATTGAGATGGAGTCTTGTTTAATAACTCAGACAGGTCTTGAACTCAAGGTGAGTTCCTGCCTGAGTTCCTGAGTAATCTGCCTAGCTCTGTTCCTATTACTATCTGACAATTTTTTTTTTTTTTTTTTTTAAGACATGTATGTATCTTGCTCTATAGTTCAGGCTGGCCTCCAGCTTGCCACAATCCTGCCTTAGCCTCCCAAATGCTGGGTTTATATCACCATACCCAGCTTAATGTGCTTCTCCAGCTATTGCTTCTGTCACACCTTCAGTGCAGCATGTAGCAGCCCTAGAACAAGCCTGCCACCTTGGGCTCTGCCCTTATCGCCTCCCACCCTGCTGGGCCCCATACCATGTTGCAGACCATGTAGCCAAGTACACTAAGAATGCAATGTTCTACCACTGAGCTGGTGTTCAGCCAGGAACAGAGCGCAGGTTTTGATGTTAAATGGCCATATGGATATTAAGCATTTAATTGATCCTACGTTCTGTGTGAGGTGGGCAGATATAGCTGTGAGTAACATGCAGTTTCCTGTCCTGCCAGATTCTTTTGGTCCTGAGGGAGACACCGACAGCTGAGAGGCACATGAATGCAGGCAATAAGAAGCTGTCGAGGGGCAGTAGAGGAGCTGTCTCAACAGAGTGGTTGATGCCCCACAGTGCTCCCTGCCCTGAGTGCCTCTGCACCCTCCTTCCTCCCGACTCATGTCTATCTGCAGTCTCTACTCCCATCGGGCCTCTCCTTGCCTTTGCTTAGTGTCCCCACTACTGCCTCGCCCTCAGCCTGGCTCCTCTGGGTCTGGGAGCTGCCCTTCAGGCTCTCTGCCTATCTTCACACTCTGTCTACTGCCATGTCTCTAATCTCTTCTTGGCTCTTCAACCTTACCCACCTGAGTGCCTCAACATCTGCATCCATTGCTGCCCACAGGTTCATCTTCAGACTCACTTTTCCCTGTTTCAACATTCCTCTGGCTTTAAAGACAGAGGTGCAACCCAGGATGACCTGGCCTTGGTCTGCAGCTCCCCATTCCCTGTCCCCTCCAGCCATCCAGGCCTCTGTTCACAATACCTGTTCTATCTTCTTATCTCACTGGGCCATCCCCTCCTCTGGGTGGGAGGAAGTCACTGCCTCTGTCATCCGCCCTACCTGTACCTCTTCTGTGGTGGCCATTGGTGCATCTGTCTTAAGCTCATCCTACAAGCAGTTTTAAGGGATATGACCCATGCAGACCAGCCTCCTCCGGCTTCAGTGGTCCCTGTCTTCTTTCTCCCACTAAATGGGTCCTTAAGGGCAAGTCCCTACTACTCTTAACTGGTATGGCACAGTGTAAACAGTAGGCATTCAGTAAACATTGCCTAAATGACTCTTCAGTACTCAGGTCCTCCCCTCCAAAGTATATTAGCTGATCCCAGAGCTAGCCTGAGGGGTGAGCTGGGATTGCAGTAGATTGCGGGATTCCCCACTCCCACTTCCTTCTGTAGCTAAACTTGTACCTTTATCCTGGACTTACTAGTCCAACCACAAAAGCTCTTTTGGGAGAACAACTTAAAGTTTCCTTCAGATTATATTAGTACCTGACATGGACCCATAACTTAGAAGAGGAAGGGTCCATCTGGCTTGTGATTTTAGAGGTTTCCTCCCTGGTCAGCTGGCTCCCAGGCAGAACAGCGTGGTGGAGGGGGCTGGCCAAACAAGCTGTTCAGTCATGGCAGCCAGGAAGCAGAGACCCCGTGACCTCCCAGACACAGAGAAATAACCTTTAATAAACCCCTATGCAACTCTTACATCAATCAAGTTGACCCCTAAGCTTAACCATCACACAGGTCCACCCCCAAATTTCTGTATGGATTCAGCAGTCTGCTGTGCTATGTGCTTGGCATTTGTCTCGGTCACACACAGGACCTTGGCCACCTGTATACGGTATCTCTCTCTCTTGCTCTCGCTCTCTTGCTCTCCCCCCCCCCCGCACCCCCCCTAGCAGTACTAGGTATTTGAAGCCAGGGTCTTTGCACTGAGCTGTATCTCCAGCTTTTTTTTTTAGAAATTTGAGATAGGATTTCATTAAGTTGCCCAAGGTAGGCTTAAATTTGTGTTCTTCTTGCGTCAGCCTCTAGGGTGTTGAGATTACAGTTGGGCACCACCAAGCCCAGTTCACCTGTAAGCATTCTGAGTCATCTGTATCAACTTGCATAGCCCAGCAGTCCTAGCAAGGCAGAATGTGACAGCATGGCCAGGTGTGGAGCGGGGACAGAGGTCACTAGCGGCTCTGATGCACTCACTTTTCCATGCTTCCCCCAGGAGATGGCGGGCAGAGCACTCAAGCAGACTGGCAGCAGGAGCATCGAGGCTGCCCTGGAGTTCATTAGCAAGATGGGCTACCTGGACCCCAGGAATGAGCAGATCGTGCGTGTCATCAAGCAGACCTCCCCAGGTGAGCCTCAATGGCAGGCCTCAGTATGGCAGATGAAGAGATCTGCGATCAGAGAACACAGCAATTTGCAGAAAGAGGCCCCCAGCCTGCCCTAGTCAGGAGATAGGCACAACCCTTGTTTTACTTACCAGAGAGCAAGCTGGCCCTGTGAGAGTCAGGCCCAGAGTAAGGACACTGCAGCAGGTCATGGGACTTACCTAGAAGGTGTGTGCTTATTTTGTTCTGTGAAAGAAAGATTTAGCAAAGTGAGAGTGAAAATATTTTAACTTTCCCTTGGCTCTGGGGAGGCATCTGAAAAGGAATGTTTATGAGGCTTATGCTTCTAAAGCCCACATTTTATATCACCACTGCCTCAAGAACAGCTGTCCCAAGGCAGACACGTGCCAGGACCAACATCTGTATGCAGTGTGCTGGGCTCCTCACAGGGTCCCCTGAAAGAGACAGTCACCCATTGCCTCACTAGCTAGGGATGCATTGATCCTTTCCAGGGTGGGATGGGTGAGTTGTGTTTCAGGTTCTTGAGGTCCCTGGGGTATGATTAAAGGATTCATTATAATTTGCAAAAGGAGTTTCCCCATTTTATGGAAAGGCAAAGATAAAATCCACTTGCCGTGATACATGAGAAAATTTCATAGGCTTTTGTGATTTGTATCTCTGCTGTTCAGGGGACACAATATTTCTCTTTCCTTTTTGAGAGGATTTCCTTTACCTCCTACCCATTTGGCCGCCTTTGTCTTAGAGCATGGGGCCAAAAGTGAAGGCCACGTTGCCTTTGGTGTGCTCTGTGCTCGCAGCTGTGGCTGCTGGGCCTTGCTTTGCCAGGTGTTGGGGGCAGGGGTATAACCATGGTGTCAGGGTGGAACCTCGGGACTGTAGCCCCTGCCAAAGCGAGCAGAGGGTTGGAGTGCACAAATGAACTGCACCTTGGCCATCCTTCCCAGGCATCCATTTTAAATGATGAGAGACTTTAAATGGAAAAGTCAGGAATCAGGAAGCAGCTACCGAAATCCATCTGGATATTTGAAGGAAGGGGTTTATGTGGGTTCTGTTGTTGTATGAATGTTGTTTGGTTTCAGTAAAGATAAAACCCCCAGAAAATCTTTATTTTGGAAAATAGGTGAAAGCCAAGTGGACATTTGAACAATGGCTGTGATCCTGCCCTTGTTAGATTTTGGGAACAGTGAGCTCAGGTGCCCAGAAGACTTGGGCTCATCAGGTAGAAAAGAGGTGCTGTCCAGATGGCTGCGCAGCATGGGGAGGCAGGTCCTGGATGTGTCTTCTGGGACGTGAGGACACCGGGTACTGCCCCTCTCTAGTCTGCACCTGTCCCTGCTGCCACTTTAGGGTGAGTGGGCCCCAAGCGGACATACACCTTCAGGGTCCTCCTTTTAGGCCTTGTGCACAGCACAGCCCCTGGACATCGCTAGAGGGAACAGCTAGTGGGGAAGGACCCAAAGGGTGCCAGGCTGATTGTCTTCCTGTCTTTGCTGCAGGCAAGGGCCTCATGCCCACCCCAGTCGCAGTGACGCGGAGGCCCAGCTTCGAGGGTGCGCGTGAAGGCTTTCCTGCCTTTTCCCCGCTGCCCAGCGCGGCCTACGACGGTGCGGGCTTCTGCTCAGACAGTACAGTGGTGTTGGAGGAGGGGCCGAGGCCCTATGCGGGCTTCCTTTTCGCGGGGACCCAGCTCGGCGCGCCACAGGCCTACAGTGCCCATTACAGCCGCACACGCCCCCCTGGGCCGGGGGAGCCACGGGGCTACAGCGTGCAGCGCAGCCCGTCCTTCCAGGCGCCAGGGGCCCCACCGGCCTCTGGCCTGGGCACCCCAGGCCCGGCGGGGCTGTACCCGCCGCCGCACAAGCCCCCAGGGCTCCCACTGCATGCCCTGGGCCCCCGTGGCTCGCTCTTCCCCACGGAGCCCCCACCTGGCCCGCCAGCGCCCCCGCGTGGCCTGCACGCTGAGCTGTACGAGCCCTGGCCGGCTGCGCCCACCCGCCGCGACTCGCTGCGCACTGCCGGGCCCGAGCCCCGCTCTCTCGCCTTCCGGCCCGGCGGCCCCACGCCCAGCAGGACCCACTCCTTCAGCGGCCCACAGGCTGAGCCCGCACTACCCGCGCCCAACACCGTCACGGCTGTCACTGCCGCGCACATTCTCCACCCAGTAAAGAGCGTGCGCGTCCTGCGACCTGAGCCGCAGACAGCTGTGGGGCCCTCGCACCCCGCCTGGGTGCCTGCACCCTCCACAGAGAGCCCAGCCACAGAGGAGGACACGACGCACAGCCTGGCCGTAGCCTTCCCACGGGACCGATGCCCGCCGCCCCCCTACCCCAAGCATCTGCTGCTGCACAGCAAGTCTGAGCAGCTCGACCTGGACGGCCTGTGCACCGGCATGGAGCAGAGCCTGCGCGGGTCCCCTGCCGAGCCCGCCGCAGCGGACAGGAGCCGCAAAGGGGACAAGGGCGACAAGGCCGGCAAGGACAAGAAGCAGATCCAAACCTCACCGGTGCCCGAACGCAGGAACAACAGGGACGAAGAGAAAAGAGAGTCTCGCATCAAGAGCTACTCCCCGTACGCCTTCAAATTCTTCATGGAGCAACACGTGGAAAACGTCATCAAAACCTACCAGCAGAAGGTCCACCGGAGACTGCAGCTGGAGCAGGAAATGGCCAAGGTTCTTTCTCTGTGCTGTTCTGCCCTGTCCCCCGGGGAATAGGAAGCTTGTGGGGCAACTCTGTTGTTTGCACCATACACACTTCTATCACAGACTGGCCGTCAGATGCAGCAAGGGAGGCGCCCAGCACTGAGAAGTCACAGTGCAGTGACCTCCCCCTCATCCTAGCAGAGCCTGATGGTGGTGTGTAACGTGTCCAGCACATGATTTGCAAGTTGCTTTTTATAGTGTATCTTTGATCTTTAACAAATTTCATCAAGGTTTACTTATCAATAATACAATATGTATTTTGAAAAGGGAGAAACAGAATTTGAGGTTTTGAAAGTTATTGGGTTTTTAAAGAAAAAGATAGTCTTTTAAGTCTTTTATTAGTAAATAATGTTTAAATCATTTGTTACTTCACAGTACTAAAGTGGGTAATTACTAATGAAATTCAAATTAAAATATAACAGCAAATTTAAATCACATCCAGCAAGTCTTTTCAAATTCTACAAATCAAATTTTTATTCCCACACCCTTTTGTACATATTCATTGATTTGTTTTCTATTTTCCAATTTTCCCTGAGCTAGTAAAGTACTAGATTTCTCTAGGAGTTCCAAAATGTTGTGGTCCCCATCCTGTAGATTTTTATTAACAGAGGTTTAGTTTTTAGAACTTCTTGTCACCTAGAGAAAAAGCTCTATCTTGTCTGGCTTTTCGATTCCCAATTTGTATCTGTACGTAGATATTAAAAAAAAACACAAGTAGGGCTGGGGAGATGGCTCAGTGGAATAAGTGCTTCCCTGGCAAACGCAAGGGCCTAAGTTCAATCCCCAGTTCTGCAAAAAAAAACAAAAACAAAAACACACAAGTGATTGTTACTTTGCAGGTAGCATAATAAAGCCTTTTGTTGTACCCTGTTCAGAGTCCTGCTCCATCCCTCACGGCTCTGGGAACCCTCTGGTGACCTCTTTGGTTTCCCTTGTCTGCAGGCGGGACTCTGTGAGGCCGAGCAGGAGCAGATGAGGAAGATCCTCTACCAGAAGGAGTCCAATTACAACAGGCTCAAGAGGGCCAAGATGGACAAGTCCATGTTCGTGAAAATCAAAACCCTGGGGATTGGTGCCTTTGGAGAAGTCTGCCTGGCCTGTAAGGTAGATACGCATGCCCTGTATGCCATGAAGACCCTGAGGAAGAAAGATGTGCTGAACCGGAACCAGGTGGCCCACGTCAAGGCCGAGAGGGACATCCTGGCTGAGGCAGACAACGAGTGGGTGGTCAAACTGTACTACTCATTCCAAGACAAAGACAGCCTGTATTTTGTGATGGACTACATCCCCGGGGGGGACATGATGAGCCTGCTGATCCGCATGGAGGTCTTCCCTGAGCACTTGGCCCGGTTCTATATCGCAGAGCTGACTTTGGCCATCGAGAGTGTCCACAAGATGGGTTTCATCCACCGAGACATCAAGCCTGACAACATTTTGATAGATCTGGATGGTCACATCAAACTGACAGATTTTGGCCTCTGCACTGGATTCAGATGGACTCACAATTCCAAATACTACCAGAAAGGTATTATCTTGGGCACACCATGTTCCTCCTCTGGATATAGCCCAACCACGCAAGGTCCCCATCCTGGTGGCTCCTACTTAGTATAAAGTCATCCACCAATCCTATATTATATATTTTGATATGAAAACCTTGCTTCCCTGAAGGGAGACAGTGATAGGTATCAGATTTTTCTTTAAGTTAGTGGATTTCAGTTTTATTACACTTCACATGACACGCCTTTGTGGAAAATCATTGTTCTGCCCTCATAAAATAAGTTATAGAAATGAAAGTGTCAAGTCTGAGGGTAGTGGCATGCACCTGTTTTTTCTTATGTGGGGCCATGGAGAGGGGGGACAAGCCTGCTGATCTGCTTAGAGGTCTTCCCTGTAGTCCAGCTACTTAAGAGACAATCAGCTTGAGTCCAGATGTTGAGGGCTAGCCTGGCTCATAGTCTCTAGCTCAAAAAATAAAGGTCTCAGAGTCTTTTCTCTTGGGGCAGGCAGATGGCTCAGTGGAATAAGTGCTTCCCTGGCAAGCGCAAGGGCCTGAGTTTAATCCCCGGTTCTGCAAAAAAAAAAAAAAAGAAAGAAAGAAAAGAAAAGAAAAGAAAAAGAAAAGAGAAAAAAAAAAGTCTTCTCGCAAAGTTAGCCCAAGTCTATCTTTTATATAGTTTAGCTCCGTTTTCTGTGTTCTGCTGTTTGGAGAGGTCAGAAACAGCTGGTGATTATCTCAAGGCTGGAAGACCTGAAATAGCTACTTCAGCACTGCAGTTCAGTCTGGTTGGGTTTTTTCTCCCATAAACTGATCACTAGCCTGTGTTTGTATTTTCTGGAATTGAAGTTACTTCTATTCATATTTTTTAAATCTTGGGTTTTTTTTATGCTTACCATAGATGCTTCTGCCACTGTCCTTAGAAGTGCTGGGAATGATGTCCCCAAGGCCATCCAGCATGTCTGGCCAAGGTGTCCCATTGCAGCTGTCACTGTGCAGTTTGCTGTCATCATTCCTGCACCTCTGCCATGTTGCCAGCCATCACTGTACAGTGTGTGTGTCAGGACCTAGGACCAACAGCTGCCCCCATGGAGCAGATGTCCCGCATGCCAGCAGCCAGCTGGAGTTGCTTCTGTCTTCAGCTGTGGATTTTTTATATTGCTGAGTAGTGAAATGTACTTTCTGTTTTGTTCTTCTCTTGCCACCCCCCCATTTCCAGGTGAAGGGAACCATGTCAGACAGGACAGCATGGAGCCCAGTGACCTCTGGGACGATGTGTCTAACTGTCGCTGTGGGGATAGGCTGAAGACCCTGGAGCAGAGAGCCCGGAAGCAGCACCAGCGGTGCCTGGCTCACTCCCTGGTTGGGACCCCAAATTACATCGCCCCCGAAGTGCTCCTGCGCAAAGGTGATCAGACCTCTGAGTGCTCCAGCTGCAGCTGGCAGTAGAATGTCTGCAAGTCTCCACGGCGCTGACTTTCTGAGAGGCCAAATACTCCCATCACATTTTTATGTCTGAGGAAAACAGAGCTACAGAGTCTCATGAACAAACAAGCCTCCAGCTCTAGTCAGGAAGTGCCTTTGCTTTATACACCATTAGACCATCGTATACCCACTCCTCTGGTTGGGTTGTATGAGACATGAGCTTCTACCCTGGGGCTCAAGGGGGTAGTTTTGAAACCCCCTTTGACAAAGTCATGTGAGGAAATGCCAGGATCACAAGGCTGGCTATGCTCATTGTCCCTAAACAAAACCCCTAGTCCACTTATCTCCCACTGAGTTACACCAGCAGGTTTAGCATACAAATACTGTTTGTCTCCACTTCTCCCTGCTACTCCCCAGACTCCTGGGAAATAAGATTTGTAGACCATATTAAGCATAAGGTCATCAGTGTTAGTGTGTCTGCGGGTTGGGTGCTTCGTTCTGTCTGATATAGCACGTGATTGAGAACAAGCAAGATCCTCCAGGGCCCCTGCATGACCCACTGCAGCAGTGGGCTGTGGATCCAGTCCTGTACAGTACATCTGGACACATGTACCCTCTTCTTCACTTATATGTCTCAAGGTTTGGAGCCAGCCAGGCCTAGTCCAAGTAAGATTTTTCACTGTTAGTTGAGGTGGCCCTAGGCAGGTCCCTGAATTACTCAGTACCATGTATGTAGCAATAGTGCCTGGTACCCAGGGAAGACCTTGCATGCCCTTCCCTGCACAGTTTGGGGGCATCCTCCCATGCTAAGAGAATAGAATGGAAAAGCAGAGGGCACAGAGGTGCCCAGCATGTCAGTCCATGGGCTGACCTCTCACAGCCCAGGTCCCACTTAGAAGGGTTGGGTGACATAAGGATGAGCCTAGAGTAATTGACACGGCTGGGGAACCAAATGAACCTACCCGCTGGTGCCCTTGGCTTATCAATGACTCCCCAGCCAGGGGCTCTCACAGAGAGTTCAGCTGGGCTGCAGTGAGTTGTCCAGTCTTTGCTGGAGTGGCTTCCTCACACATTCCCACATTCTTTGTCTTCTTCCAGGCACCTCTTGGGAGCCCTTCGCAGGGCCTCACCTGGCCTCTGTCAGCATGGCACTTTGTGGTTTTGGGTTTCTGTTTTGTCTGTATGATCAGTTCTGGTTGGTTATTAACAATAGCTGTACTCTAAATTATAAGAATGTTTCTTATGAAAATATTCTGGGTTTATCAGACTAGTGATTGAAAATAAGAAAACAAAAGTGGGGAGCCTGCCCCTTAGCTCAGTTCTTTAAGTGGCTGCTTCAGCAAAGCAGTCAGGCTCGGGTTGATGTGGTTCGATCCCCACAACTCAAGCCAGCCAAACCTGCCCTGAAGGCATTCGGAGCAAAAAAAAAGAAAGAAAGAAAAGAAAACAAAAGTGGCCACATCCTTCATGAGTGCAGATGGCCCCCTGGAGCCCCTCCAGCTGCCTTTTCCCCTCATACATTTCTGTGGCTCTCAAGCCCTCTGGGAGCCAGAGTGTAGTCGGTATGTTTGAGGTCTTCCACACTTGGCCTCAAGGAGACTGTGCCTGCACTGGGATTGAACAAGCCCTCTCTTTCAGGGTACACCCAGCTCTGCGACTGGTGGAGTGTTGGTGTGATTCTCTTCGAGATGTTGGTGGGGCAGCCGCCCTTTTTGGCTCCTACTCCAACAGAAACCCAGCTAAAGGTAAGCAGGCCGCAAGCACACGCACAGCAGGCACTGCATCCTATGCACCTGTGCTCTTTGATCAGCATTTGACCTCCTCTGAATACGATGGGAAAGCAGCTATACATTACAGGATTTTTAAAAAGCAAATCTATCTTTTGAAATGACTAGTATCCAGTTTTAGATTTTTTCCTTTGGTAAATCAAAAGCCACAAAGTTGGACCTAAGGTTTGGTGCCTGAAATTTTATTTAAACCATTGGCAATCTGCTGCTTGTTGGCTGGCAGGACTCTGCACAGTGAAAAGTAGTAGGCACCGTGCCAAGGAGCTGCCACTCGGGCCAGCTGTGGGGAAGGACCAGAGCTCTGTTACCTGCCACTAAAACCCTTGCTTGTGGGGTGTGACATCACTACTGTTTGCACACGGTCAGCCAGATAGGCTGGTTGTGTATATTTGGAGTCATACAATCAATCAGTCAGATAATAATTGTGTGCTAAATAATTTGATTTTAGAACTAACAACTGTTTGTTTTCTGAAGTGTATTGTTAAAGACTGAATTGAAACCTCACATCCTCACCCATTGCTGCACAATGCTAGGAAGTTTTCCTGTCCATGGTAGAGTCTGAATGAATAACCCTTTAATTTGAAAAAGCCTAAAGTTAAAGCTTAGTTTCACTCTACGAACAGTACAATTGGAATTTAGCACTTTTTGCATTGTAGTTGTATTGCTGAACCAGCCTCTGATTCTTTTTCTGTGGTAAGGTATACATAATGTAAAATGTACCATTTGAAGTTTCTGAACTAGTAGGCCACTTCAGCTAAAGTAAAGTGGAATTGTACATTGTGGTTCTTTCTGTGGCTGCTTTATTGTACTCAGCATAATACCCTTAAGGTCTGTCTGTGTTGTAGCATGTTTCACAGTATGGTCATATGTATTCATAGAACATGTTCTTAAAAAGTCCACTCTTAACCCTGGTGGACATCTACATTGATTCTACTTCTTGGCTGTTACGAATAATACTGTTATGAACATGTGCAAGCACCTGCTTTCAGTTCTTCTGGATACATACCCAGAAGTGGGACAGCTGGGTCATACCATCATTTTCTTTTTCTTTCTTTCTTTTGTGTGTGTGTGTATGTGTGTGTGTGTTGGTACCAGGGATCGAACTCAGGACCTTGTGCTTGCCAGGCAATGTGTAGAGAAACTGCCACCTTGTCAAGAATAGTTAACAGTATTTTACATTCTCACCAATAGTGTGCACAGGGGCTGGGAAGATAGCTCAGTGGAATAAGCACTTCCCTGGCAAGCGCAAGGGCCTGAGTTCAATCCCTGGTTCCGCCAAAAAAAAAAAAAATAGTGTGCACAGATTCTAGTTTATGCACATCCTCCTCAATGCTTAATTCCTTTTCCTCCCATTTTCTTTTTCTTTCTTTTCTTTTCCTTAATAAAAGCCATTCTAGTAGATATGAGGTGACAGTTCATTATAATTTTCATCTGTGTTTCCCAATTAGTGGTACTGAATGTATTTTCTTTTTTATGTATTTAGTACAGTGTCTATAGGTTCTACAGGGTCTCACTATGTAGATTGGACCTGTAATGATCCTCCTGTTTTTCAGCCTCCCAAGTGCTGGGATTATAGGTGCACACCACCATGCCCAGTCTTAGTCGCCATCTCAACATGCCTCGGGCAGGGCTGGCATAGCACACTGGGCATTGAACCCTGGCCACTGTGCTCTGCCTAAGCAGGCATTTTAGTCCACTGAGCTATATGCCGGCCCTATTGAGTGTATTTTCATGTGTTTATATCTATTTGTATAACTTTGGAGAATCAACTATACCAGCCCTTTTCCCTTTTAAAAAAAAAATGTATTATTTGCCTGCATTGAGTTCTAAGAGTTCTTTATTCTGAATAGTAACTCCTTTTCAAGTATATGCTTTACAGATACAACCGTAGGGGCGCCTCTTCACTTAGTCAGCAATGTCCTTTGAAGCACCTGAGTTTTTCATTTTTACAGACTTCACATCTTTCTTTTATTGCTGGTCTTTTGGAGTTATACCAAGAAATCATTGCCAAATCTAACATCATGAAGATTTAACCTTGTTTTTTCCCATGCATTTCTTGGTTTGGGTTCTACTAAAAAACTCCCACATTTAAAGCAACCCTCGCAGGCAGGCACTTGCCTACTTGCACACCTCACCCAGGTCTCGTCACTCTCACTGGTGGCAGTTAACACTAGCCTCAATCCACTTGGTGCTAAGTGTGAATCATGCAGCTGTGGCTCTAGCGTTTGCTTTACAATGAACACAGTGATGTGACTGATGTGTTTAATGAACATCCAAGTGGCGGGTTTGTTTGGATGAGCATCACAAATAGAGGGCAAGGCTAAGGAGCAGTCATCTTGATCCTCCTCCTCTGTGAGGTTGTCATTTTCCCCTACAAAATCCCCACTGACCATCTCTTGGCCGAAATAAGTATTGAATGAGTGCTGTGATGACTCAACAGAAATCCAGTACCATAGGTCATAGGTCATTTGCTTCATCTCTGTAGAAAGCACAAAACTCTTGGCTAAAGAGATTTTTTTT